TCAATTAATTTTGTTCCGTTATATTTCTTCTATTAGCAGCCCAAAAATGTTGGGGGTAGGTAGCAAGGGCTTCTGGGGGCGCCGATGTACCTACACTTGATGGTCCACGGCCAACATCATAAAAATTTGAAGGAAGGAATACGAATTCATTCGTGGTCGCCTAACCAATCTCGGTAGTATGGGCGCCCCTCCGAGATGAGGCACCCCACCAACCATACCGTTTTCGGTGCCCCATTGATCAAGTCGTGGGCGCACAACCAAACTCACTCGGCATTATGCAGTATGTGCGGCCCCACAATCAAATATTGTCATTGTAAGGCGCCTCACCAATCATGTCATTATGGGCGCCCCTCCGGGATAAGGCACCCCGCCAATCTCGTCGTGGCCGCCCATGCGATGTCACTCTGCTCTATGGGGCGCCCACACTGATATGGGCACGTTGGTCGTTGGCTTCGTATTGCGTCGAATGGAAAGCCCCCCCCCCTACAGCGCTAGCTACGGGCCTGTTTTAGTGAACCAGTACGGACGTGCTATAGACCTATAGAACGTCAATCGGTTCGAAGTTGTACAAAGAAAACGCATGTTAAGTTTCATGTCGAACATACTTGAACTGGCAGATTCACAGACTTTTTCCTAAGAGCGACAGTCACAAGAAGAAGAAGAAGAAGAAGACGAGTAGCATTTGAGACCCAGTTCCTGTTCCAAAATTGCATTTCATTAAGAAATATTGCTATCGATCACCATAAATAATTATATTGGCCTTTTAAAAATAGTTGCCAGTAGAAGCATAATACTGTTGGTCGATACATGTTGTGTTGACAGAAATCAACCAGCAACACAGCCGTCAATAAGATCACTGTGTTAGATGCCCACACATTTAATTACACACCACAGTAAAGTGGTAAGATTGTTTTTAATCGATAAACAGCACACCACGTCCAGTGTTTGCGCAGAGTAAAGCATACTATATTATAAACAAACATTATATCATCGATCCTAAACATTAATCAAACTGCACATTTGTAAATATTATGTTACTGCATAAGAATAGAGAATTGTTAAAACCATAATTTCACATTTTCTAAAAAAGTGAAAACATAAATATTTCTTTATCGGTTGCTTAATTGTTTGTCAAATCACTATTTTAAGGTTATATGACACCTCCTAGAAAGCTCGCACTCGTGGAGCTCGGCTCGTGACTGCGTCACTCGTATTCGGGGCCTTTTGTGCATTAGTTGGTCTCATTTTTGCTTTTTGTGGAAGAGTTACTGTAGTTTGTTGATAATTACAGCCCAACTATCAAATAATAAAAAGAGATCAATGACAAATGATCTATGAAAATTCCATAATGTTATTACGACCTTCTTGAAACTGGAATATTTTATGTGCCAAAAATGTGTGATAAAAAAAAAACATGTAACAATTTTAGGTTTCAGGTAGGCCTTTTATTAAACAAATACCGATATAACAGTATACAACAACTTTGATTTACTATAAAATCAGATTTTACTATTTCTCAAGAATACCACAAAAAATTAATTTTAATATAATATATTCAATATATTGTTAATATTTGTACCTGTTAAATATGAAATACGCTGCGTGAAATCGTGACTTATCGAGATTATAAATGTGCACTATATCTTATCTGTGTAGGATAAAGCACGAGACTGAGGTTATACTGCGGAAAAAAAGACTGAAGAAAATAACGCGAGAAAAAGAAAAACCGAGACTGAGGACTTTATCTTTCTTTTAAACCGTCTATGTTTACATGTAGGGCCTACGTAAAATGAGAATATTCCAGAATTCCAGTAAGAAAAACCTTATACATCATGTTTTCTTATGAAAAAAGTGCTAACTGATCAATAACTATCTTATAAATTTCGACTATTATAAAAATTCAAATTTAAAATTGTCGTAACTAAACAAGGTCTGCATATAGAGTATCAAAAATTATTGTAGAAGATACATACAAACAATGAAGATACATACATATACGTTACTTTCAAAACTTGTCATCTCCAGACGCTTCAAAAATAGGGCTTTTCCTACACGTCAAAAATTAATATGTTAAATAAATATGTATACCAATTTGACGATTTTACAACAGCTTGGGAAATAATGATATCTGATTTTAAGAATTGACAGCATACGCCATGAAGTGTGATATGAGGGAAAATTGCCCGACAGCGGCGCTACGGCCTACTCTTATATCGAATTCCAACTGCCAAGGTATCTTTTACGTGCACGCCAATGTGTACACAGGACCTCGTTTTTTTGTCCCATTCGAAAGACTAGACAGCAGTCCTTGTCAGGCATTCCGCCCTGCACCATTGGCAAGGGAAAACAACATCGGAATCGATCACGCGACCTCCAGGCTAGCTACTCAGTTTACTATCGACATAGTTTACTATCGACAATCATGTTAACAATGTCTGTGCGAATGGTTATTATAATCTGCGCAATATACCAGTAGAATATGTAAATATTTATCTGTTGACCATTTAATCAAATCTCTTGTTATTTCACGTCTTGATTGTTTCATCTTGTTAACTGGTCTACAGTTAAGGTTACTTTGAAAACTGCAAAATTTTGCAGCGCGTCTGGTGTTGGTTATCATGAGCACGTAACTCCAATTCTTTAGTCTTCTCATGATTTTAACATTTATGCAGACTTCTTAATGGTTAATCAACTCCATACTGGTCCGAGTTCATACAAATGCATACGGAGTGAGAAATATGAGGTCTTCTAGTAATGATTTACTTTTAGTACAAAGAGCCAAACTGGCATCCTATGGCGAGAGGGCATTTTCATTAGAACAAATTATTACCTTTTTTATTCGAAAATTACTATCTGTGATCTCATTTAAATCTTATTTGAAAACTCATTTATTCACATAAGCTTTTTATACGCCCACATTTTCATGTGGACGTATATTGTCGTCGCCCCTGTCCGTCCTACCGTCACAATTCTTATCCGATTTTGACGAAACTTGAAATATAGGTTTATCTCAAAAAGATCTCGGCTGCTTTCGATATTGGCATGTATCGGATCAAAACTTCATGGATTATGGCCCCTGTTTGTACGAAAAATCACGTTTTAGCTTGTGGACACTATAGAGGTCACAATTTTTATCCGATTTTGTTGAAACTTCAAATGTAAGTTGATAACCCAAAGATCTCGGTTCCTTTCGATATTCGCGCATATCGGACCATAACTTCCTGAATTATGGCCCCTGATTGTACGAAAAATCGCGTTTTTAGCTTGTGGACCCTATAGAGGTCATAATTCTTATCCGATTTTTAAAAAAACGTATTATTATATCCCCGTTACACCCTAAGGGTGGCTGAGTTCGAATTTCGTGAAAATCGGCCCAAAATTGACAGACAAAATGGCTGTCGTTCGTTCTCAAATAGCGTAAAAATATGGTATATCAAGGTTGTGGACCCTATAGAGGTCACAATTTTTATCCGATTTTGTTGAAACTTGAAATGTACTTTATAACCCATAACCTCGGTTCGTTTCGATATTCGCGCATATCGGACCGTAACTTCCTGAATTATGGCCCCTGATTGTAGGAAAAATCGCGCTTTTAGCTTGTGGACCCTATAGAAGTCATAATTTTTATCCGATTTAAAAAAACGTTTTATTATATCACTGTTACATCCTAAGGACGGCTGAGTTAGAATTTCGTGAAAATCGGCCCAAAATTGACAGACAAAATGGCCGCCGTTCGTTCTCAAATAGCGTAAAAATATGGTATATCAAGGTTGTGGACCCTATAGAGGTCACAATTTTTATCCGATTTTGTTGAAACTTGAAATGTAAGTTAACATATCGGACCGTAGCTTCCTGAATTATGGCCCCTGATTGTACGAAAAATCGAGTTTTTAGCTTGAGTACCCTTTAATTTTTATCCGATTTAAAAAACCGTATTAATAGATCACCGTTTCGTGAAAATCGGCCCAAAATTGACAGACAAAATGGCTGCTGTTCGTTCTCAAATAGTGTAAAAATATGGTATATCAAGGTTGTGGATCCTATAGAGGTCACAATTTTTATCTGATTTTGTTGAAACTTGAAATGTAAGTTTATAACCCAAACATCTTGGTTCCTTTCGATATTCGCGCATATCGGACCGTAACTTCCTGAATAATGGCCCCTGATTGAAGGAAAAATCACTTTCTTTTTAGCTTGTTCTCTATCCATCTCTCGAAAATGTGGGCGTATCCTGCCTGGCAGCCGCTGGTTATTGATTTTAGACATTTTATTGTTTTTATAGTTAATTTTTATGTCATTATTCATTGTCTTTTTCTTTTAGGTTTTTTAGGGATTTTGTTTTACTTTGTTGTTGTTAAGCGCATCTTAAAAGCAAGTTTCAGGATAAAACTGAAACAAAGATAACATTGTCATGTCCTTATATTTACTTCATGTCAAACTGGTCAAATTCGAATGCCGAAGGCATATTATTACTGTGGTTTGAAGCTATTTACATACAATGTAAAGTTACTTCATATAAAAACACAAGGTACCGGAGATCTCTTATAAAATGTAGCCCGTTACTTATTGAAGAAGCGGGTGCAAGATATTTGTTGGGTAGTAGGGGGTGGGGTAGTCCTCGGAAAATGTTTGGAAAAATTGTGGTGTCAGTGGTGTCAGCTACATTATCCAAAACAACAAAAGCATCAAATTTATACATGTACGTTTTATAGAAAAGGAATAATACATGAGTATTTTAAACTCTTATTTAGGGAACGTGCCCCTAAGGCCCCCAGATTGATCTGCCACTGACTTATTGTTCAATATTGTCCACAAAATGGGATCGTCCAGGCGGATATATAATATCGTAAAAAGGGCGTAAGAGTGCAGACCTGATTATTGAGACTATTGCTATAATTTGTGCGAGGGAAAACTATTGCAAAGTCGACTAAAATGTGTTGGTTTTTTTTGAAACACCTAATATTTTCAAAATAGATATCTAAGAAAAGAAAGACAGCCGAGAGAACCCAGTAAAATACATTTATTCTAGTTTTTTAAAACTCAAATATATGGTTTTTTTTTATATAATATAAGATACATTGCAGCCTATCGTCTGTGGGTTTTGTGACATTTTATATAATATATATGAAACAGTGTATAAAGCCTTTACATCAATAAAACATAAGAATAATAATATCAATGGTGAATGACTATGGTATTACATTTATCAATGGCAATATTTGGATGGGCATGGTCATATTTTGTTTTGTTGCACGTGAACCCTCAGATTGATAATATTCATTAATTGTAATCTTTGAAAAGGTATGGCTATTTTCTGTTCTGTTGTACACGAAGCCTCAGAATTAGTTCTTGCCAGTAACGGATACCGTGGTTTTCTTGTTGAAATACAAAAGAACTTTATGACTGGTATTTTAAGACATTTTGTTTCTAATTCGGATACAGTTTGTATTGATAAATTAGAAGTTCCGTCACAGCTATTGAGATTTCAGTTTTGAATATACGAAATTATGACAATAACAGCACTATGATGAGGTACCCCACCATGATATGGAGCATATCGGTATCATTCACAGCCCATCGGTGTAACTGTAAAGTGGGCTACGAGTGGGTCCATCTATGTGTGAAATAGCTTTATTTAACGTCCGATTCCACCGAAGTGATATCGCAGACAACGGGATCCATCTATCGAACTACTCTGTTATCAGTGAGACTTTGGCATGGGACTTAGGTCACTGTGGGACATCACCATTTTTCAGTGGCTTTAGCCTAGGTACTTATTAAATTAATGAAATGATTAACATCCATTACTTTCAACATGTATGTAGCTATTCCATTGTATATTTTTTATTCAGTTGGAAAAATGTTTTATTCTACTATTGGTGTTTATATAATAATCTCTCATTGCCTGCAAAAATAAACAAAAATTCTTCTTTGAAAATATTATAAAGGGAAATAACTACATCTAAATGTTTCATGTTTTCGGAAGAGACGATGAAATGGGGTTTAATGCCTTACTGTTCTGCTCCAACTGGGCTAATGAAGACGGGTATGCTCTATTCAGTTTGTTATGAGGGGAAATTTACCCGGGCAGCTGCACTACGTCCTACTCTAATATCGAATATGTCAAGGGTTGTTTACGTGCGCGTCAGTATGTACACTGACCTCGGGTTTCGGTCCGTCCTATCCAAACGACTATATGTTGTCCCTTAATTGGCCCCGACTTGCACCACTGAGAAGTGTGGTAAAGCCGGAAAATTCCAATGAACTTTCTCGGTTAACACAGGGATCGAACAGGGGACTTCCAGGTTTGCGACACAACGTCTTACTCTCCGAGCCAACGTGGCCTCCAGACGTTGACGATAAGGCTATGCTATTAGCTAAAATGTCAAATACACTGAATTACTTCTTGATTTTGAAAAATTCGGTCCTAATGGCAATTTAGAAAAGCTAACATATAAAGAGACTGACGTGGGGTAGATATAGTAAATTATGTATTACCACTTTAACGTTATAGAAAAGTCGTTTCTGTATTTCTGTTTGTGGCTTTAATTGTACCAGCTTCTGGAATTCATTATAATAACTATCAATTAAGTCTTTTGATATATCACAACCCTGGGCCTACAAATATAAAATTACAGACATGTTATAATATAATCATCCAAAAGCATGACATTAATTAAAACCCATTTCCTTACGAAGCATTCGGAATTTTTTATTGGCCGAGAAAATTTCTTGAGATTTTCTGGCGTGGTTTCCCCTTGTCCGTGGTGCAGGATCAAGGACTTAGCAATAAACAGTGTACACAGTGTGTGTTGTTCTGATGCCCCAATGTACACATTGAAATTAACATAGTTTCTCTTTAAAATCGACGGGAGCCGCGGCGGCTCAGTGAGTAAGACGTTGGCTCGCTAACCTGGAGGTCCCATATTCGATCCCTGTATTAACACAGAAAGGGATTTTCTGTTTCCCTTGTCAGTGAGTGGTGCGAGAAGGTGGGCCTGACAAGGGACAAACTATAGAAGTGCGGATGCGACGTGCGGACGGCGTACATGTAAAGAAAAACCCTGTATTAACACAGAAAGGGATTTTCTGTTTTCCCTTGTCAGTGGTGCGAGAAAGTGGGCCTGACAAGGGACAAACTATAGAAGTGCGGATGCGACGTGCGGATGGCGAACACGTAAAAAAACCCTTGTCAGTTGGAGTTTTATATACGAGTAGGCCGCAGTGCCTCTGTGAGGGCAAAATTGTCCTCATGGCACACTGTATGGCGTATGCCCGTTTTCATTAACCCAGTCGGTGCAGAACTGTATAACCTTAAACCCTATTTCATTAAAGATCGACGTTAATGCTTTTTTTTATTATTATTAAATCTTATTGCGCTCACCTTTATTTCATCTTTTGTTCTAGATAACCTAAAGTCACCGGCATCCTTATCGTCTTCCACAAAAACAAAATCGGCAAATTCTATCTGAAATTAAGCATAACAGTTGATTTATTTAAATTGAATTTTAACAGATTTTACCTGGTGGTAGAAATAAATCGCATGCAGCATTCAGATCATTTAACATAAACATCTGTCATTTTCTGACCGAGAAAAATTGGTAGCCGTGTTATGTCGTCACCATGTCCGACGGTTCGTAAACAATTGGCTTATGGCCGCCATAGAGGCTACAGTTTTTGATGGATTCTTTAAAAATGTGGCGTGAAGCATCGTGGTCACGAGAGGACGAAACCTATGGATAATGAACGTTCTACGATCTTTAGTTATGCCCCCTTTTTCTGAAAACCATGGGAATGCTCCATTTTTATTCCGGAACGTTCCGAATTGACGGAATTACAATGGAGTTACGCAGAATTCAGTAATGCCACAGGTCTGTCAGTCTGTGAGTATATAGGGATTTGGATGGCCGAATGGTTAGCACGTGCACACTGTATCATAAGGTCTGTCATTGAGTCAACTGGCGTGGTTTCGATTCCCCGGTTGAATGTGACAAGGAGTAGAGTCGTCTGTCTAACCTGGTGGGTTTTCTCCGGGTCCTCCGGCCCCCTCCCACTGCTAAAGACCCCTTATGAGCGCAAGCGAATTACTGAAATATAATTGAACCACGTGTTGGTCCCGAAATGACCTAGTTTGTGTCGAGTGGACGTTAAACCCCATTTCTATCTCTCTCCCTGTGTGTAGATTGAGAGTATCCCTTGTGATTTTTAGTGTTCTGCGACTTTCTTTTCCAGAGTTATCCCCCTTTGCCAAAAAAACCTTGCGAAGGCAATTGAGGTTATAGTTTTTAACATGATTTCCCGCCTAGCGAACTACAGTCTAAAGAGACTTGATAATCGTAATCAAGTTTGTGGAGTCACCAATGTGTTAATTTTCTGCAATAGGGTGGATTTTAGACAATAGTACTCCGTATTTATATGGGTTCATCTGGGTTGAATTCTGTGAATCGACCTGTTTGTTTTGTTCACATTCTAACCTCTGTCAAGGAACATAACGCCAAAATTAATCGTCGGGTGAAACCCTGGTTGAACTAGAAACAAAATAACAGCCCACGATGGGAAGGACACACTATTAGTACAACCTCAAATAGTTACGACAGAAAATACTACCTCTTTCGAGTTAAATGACGATTCTCTGTATTCCGTGATCTCGAGAGATGGTGTTTCAGCAAGGGTACGTCGTACCATTCCATCATAGATCTACATTAAAAAAGAAATTTTATAAAAATAAATAGCATTTACTTAAAAAGAAGCAGGTCGCTCGTACACTGTGTATGTCTTGTGCAATTTACATTCATAATATACTATTCCGTATTTTTCTTGCCGCAATATAGCCCGGTTGGAGCGGACGTGCCATTAAACTCCATTTCATTTTCCGTATTCGTCTATTTGGAATAAAATCAGGGCCGAGAAAATTAAACTGTCTGTTATTTTGCTTTGAAATTCTCAGTTAAAAACTAAATAAGAGAGCTATATAAACGGGGTTTATCGTCCACTAAGACAAACTGTGTCATTTCGGGACTAAAATTCTCAGTTAAAAAACTAATAGGGGAGAATGGGGTTTAACGTCCACCCTAAATCAACAAGGCCATTACTGGACTAACATGCACAATTTAGTTTATGTTAATAATGCGCATGTGCATATGGGTCTTAGGAGGACCAAAAGAAAGCCTACTGGATTAGACAGGCAACACTGATCGAAACCACGCCTCTTGACCCAATGACAGATTTAATCATCTAAAGCTCCTCGGCATTTTCCGGATTGGTTAGCCCTTATCATTGGGCCTAGCAAGGACAGTGTCTAGTGGTTCGGATGGGATGAGATCCCTAGACAGTTGGAATTCGAAATAAGAGCTGGCCGAAAACCCTTGACAGTTTCGAGATAAGAGTAGGCCGTAACACCCGTCTTCATTAGTCCAATCGGTGCACAAAAGTAGGACGTTAGACTCCATTTTATTTGTTTTGATTGTTAGTTCTTTTTAGACACGATTAATCCATTAATTAGTCAAATAATAACCCTACCTGTTCCAATGCCTCGCTTATTTTAAACTGTAAATGACTCAAACTACAATGGGCGTCATGTAGTTTCTCGTTAAAAATGGCCTCATCATAGATAACCTTTACGTTTGCTTTACATCGAAGACAGGTTCGGAACAGTTTTGAACTTGAAAAGCGTTTTTGGAATCCCTGAAATCATAAATACAAACATGGCATCTTTTGTTAACAGGAATACAGTGGTGTGTATGAGTGGGGGGGGGAGGTGTAAGGTCGGGAGGGTGCTGATGGACTGTCAAAGACTAACCAAAAAACGTACATTTTCCCTCCTACATGGCCCATGTTTAGAAACTAGTAATTTTAGTATGTCTGGATCTGGTGATTATGGAGAAAGTTCATAATATGACTGTGTCCCACCCCTTCCAGTTAGGAAGTAAGAATACCCGAATCCACATATATAACGTGCTGAAGTATAGAAAGTTATCTAAAAGTAAGTAGTACTCCGAAGGAGTACTGACGTGTTTCGGTACGTCAGATCACGCCTTGCCACATCAACAATCAAGTTATTGAGTATATTAAGATCCAATACGGTGGCTAAGTGGGTAAAAACGCTGCCTCGATAGTCTGGAGTTCGCGTGTTCGATCCCTAGCTGCGTTGGCCCGGAAAGTTCATCTTGATTTTTCCGGCGGAGTTTCCCTTTGTCAGCGGTGCAGGACGGAGGGCTTGAAAAGGACAGCTGTCTAATCGTTCGGATGGGAAGAAAACCCGAGGACCCGTGTTTACATTGTCGTGCACGTAAAAGATCCCTTGGCAGTTGGAATGCGATATGATAGTAGGCCATAGTGCCGCTGCCCGGGCAAAATTTCCCTCATAGAACACTGTATGGCATATTCCCGTCTTCATTAGCCCAGTCGGAGCAGAACAGTAGGACGTCAAACCCGGTTTCATTTCATTTCTATACTAAACAGCAAAAAAAAAAACAAAAAAAAAAACCCCCAAAACGCCAGTACGTTTTCAAAATCAGAGAGGCACTTTAATCAAATCATTCTAGAAAACGACTTACTAAATGGATCAAAGCAATTTTTTGTGAACAGTATGTTGACACATTAGTGATTAATTCATCACAATTCCAAGACATTACGAGAAAGTTTAGAGTCTGTACACAGTCTATATATCAGTATCTGGTGTGTCCACTGCGAAAGCCAGCAGCGCGGCGTCTGTACATGGAGTGGACCAGACGATTGATGAACGCCATTGACATCTGGAACTACACTATCAGAAAAGCCTGGCGCAATCCATCGGCTGTGTTTGATCTCGGTACGACGTTATTAAATCTCCTCTGAATTTCATCCTAAAGATGTTCAATCGGGTTTAAGTCCGGACTAAGGGCTGTCCAGTGCATAACGTTGACACCGATCTGCTGTAGAAAGTCCCGAGTAACTCCCGAAATCGAAACTCAAAAATCGGCTCCCTAAAAATTGTTGCCTTTTGGAGTAGGTTCAAAACAAAAAAGAAGTTTTCGAAAATCGGAATCAAAATGGCCGCTGAATATCGATTTGAAGATTTTTTGTAAAATCCAATATGACGGCCAAACGGTTGAAAATGTTATCGGATAAGCTAGGTCTCTGAAAATGAAAGATAATATCTGGGGGCTAACACCACCATATGTCATTTATGGTCTATTTTTAAAATGGAGAGAATTGTTCATGTTCGGGTAAAATCGGAAGGCCTCTTGAATGTCTAAAAAACGGATGAAGAAATCTTTTGAAAGTCTTTTATGCTAAAACTAAACGAGCGAACTTCCGAATTTCAAAATCGGTCAGTTAGAGCCCATAGGGGATTCGTCCAAAGAATATCCAAAAATGAAAACCCGAACCGTTGAGAAAAACCGAGATGTGGGCATTCTGTGATTATTTTTGTCCAACCCGTAAGACACTTCCTGTTTGTCAAATATGAGACACAAACTGGGTCATTTCGGGACAAACACGTAGTTCAATTTTATTTGAATAATTCGCTTGCGCGTAGGGGTCTTTAGCAGTGGAAGGAAACCGGAGGCGACCTTATTCCTTGTCACGTACAACCTGGGAAATCGAAACCACGCCAACCATTCGGCCACCCCCCCCCCCCACACACACACACACCCACACACACACCTCCCTTGTTTTGCACCATGCACAGTTTTGGCTTCAAACTCTGATTAAATCCCCCCACCTCGCGACCAAATAAAAATATAATAAAAACAATTACGAAAACAATACTGTTTCGATCCAAAGTCTGAAACACGTCATTATCTCAAACTGAGAAGAGGAAAACCACGATGTGAGTATCGGAAGTAAGATAACATGGTGGAAATTAAGGTTTCAGCATAAACATCCGCAGCTCCTTCCTCAATAAAAGACGTGAAATAACGTATGACTGAGCGAATTGCATCATATACGTTCACATATACTCTTGAAAAAAGCAGGGGATATTCAGAAACAATACAAAACTGGTAACCAGTGTATGTTAATAACGGGCCAATTGCCTACACATGAACATAAACAGTTCATATGGGCGGCTCATCTGACGGCCCCATTTTACTCGCAAAGAGATACACGGTCAAAAGTGAAAATCGACGTTTTAGATTTTTGTCTTAATAAAGAGTAATTATTGCTCTACCAATCCTCAGACATTCAGCAATTCGTCGTGGCATGCTCCTAATCAACCGTCCAATCACGATTTGGGGCAATCTGACCAACTGGTCTTGCAGTGCCACGGTCAATTCTTGCTGTGTTGTCGGTTGACGTTGACGTCGACGAACACGTCTCCCGATCATGTCCCAGACATGCTCTATAGGGGAAAGGTCAGGCTGCCTAAGGCATATGGACAATATGGTGACGCTGGGGGTAGTCATTTACGACACGAACGCGGTGGACACGGGCATTATGATCTTTAAAGATGAAACGTTGACCTGCACGTTGAGCAAAGGGCAGAACTATCGGTGCCAGGATGTGGTCACGGTAGTACACACCAGTGACCCTTCCTTGAACAATATGCAAGTCCGTTCTGTCAGTCATGGTGATTCCTCCCCACACCATAACAGGCCCACGCCCGAATCTGTCATGCTGTCTGACGTTAATGTTAGCATGACGCTCATTTACACGCCTCCAAAGGCGAGCACGCCTATCGGTGAAATTCAAAGTAAATCTGTACTCATCTGAGAACATAACACGCGCCCATCGACGATTACCCCAATTTCTACGCTGCCTACACCATTGACGCCGGTTTGCCATGTAACTTGGTACAAGTTTACAGAAAGCTGATTGGCCGTTTGTCCTCGATTTCGCAGGACCTGTGTACGAATGTGTCGATCCTGGGCTTGTGTAGTGGCTCCAGGACGACCTGAACGAGGTCTATCATCAACATTATGTGTTTGTTGGTACCGGTTCCACATCATGTTGAAGACGTCTCATTGCAAATTAAACGTAACACACTAAAGCAAAGATACGCTAAACAATAAATCTTATGCAAAAACCGATAGGAAAGCAAACATGTATAGGATAAACCAGCACGCGGCAGTTTTCATCAACCCTTCCTTGAAGTGTCAAATTTGACAATGAACCCCTCCCACGTGGATGGCGCTATTGCGTGTCGCACGTACAGCTCAGTGGTTCTGTTGGGGCGATTAGTTCTTCATCTGTGAACATACTCTCAAAGCATGTCAAGTGTCCATGACTATTTATCATATCACAACTGCATAGGTATTTGCATTTCAATATCCCCTACTTTTTTGAATAGTATATATAAACAGTCACATTTTGGTAGCCTACATATTTGCAGAATAATGCTCACCCTGCCTAATAGGCTAGACGATTTTCGAAATTTTATATAGCTAAAACTATTTGATTTGGGCAACGTGAATTTCGCACTTTATTCGGAATTCTCGAATGATGAATAGCGAACCAGCACGTTATTTGGGATTGGGCAATAATACAGACGGAGCTACCTTGCTCGTTACCTTCGACCGTTACGGGTAAGTGAACTTGTTGGCATGATGATCTGAAGTGTTATTTACATTAATCGTGCGGTAAGCCCTGTACATTATATTTTTTATTATCTTCGAAAGACTAAGCGGAAATCGACGTTCTTCTACTAAATTTAGCGTTATGTTGACTGTGTCGACAGTGGAACACAAGATTGGTTATTTTTAACACTGTCTTTATCTATGGACATGAAATTTTCATTGTCATCCTACAAAGCAAATCAACATATAACGTTCCCTGAAACTGTTTGAATGTTTTACCAAAATCAACGAGTGATTTTTAAAACCTGGCAGTGAAAAATTTGTTAAATATGAAGAAGTTTGAAGAATCACCAATAAATTAGCTTTTGACTTACCGTAAAATCATCGGTGATGGCTACTTTCAGATCTGAGTTATCCGAGGAGTAAATGACAAGATCTTTACTTGTACATTTCTTGCAGAATGATTCCTTACATAAACTACATTCTTTCCGATTTTGGGGATTCATCAAACTCTTATCACAGTTTCCACACCAACTTTCACGACCAGAAGCCTGAAACATTAAATAAAGACCTCTGAGACGAATGGGTTTTAATGTCTCGTTGACACTTTCATACATGTCATTTTGATTTTATTGTCCTGATATGACCCACATATTATATGTAGATGGTGAGTGGACAATAAACTCCCTTTAATTCATTCATTCATTTTTAATATAGGCTACGGTTATCGGAAACTAACACATGGTTCAATTTTATTCCAATAATTCGCTTGCGCGTAAGGGTCTTTAGCAGTGGGATAGAAATCGGAGGACCCGGAGAAGGACAGGCGACCCTACATGTCACGTACAACCCTGGAATCGAAACCACGCCAGTTAACTCAATGGCAGACCTGATGATACAGCCCACACGTGCTAACCATAATTGATCGACAAGCTGCGCGCGTCACCATTCCGAGAGCAACATGTAAAGCGCCCCGACGATAGCCTACTACCACAATGGTCCAATAAGAATCGTATTATGAATAGAAAAGTACTTTAATTTGATAGAATGATATATAATAATGACTAAAGAGTCAGAAGGTGGAGTCTATATGAAACGGGTGGGTTGTTCGTATAGCTGTTTTGTGTTCTTCATAAAAAACCGATAATGCAGTCCAAACGTTCAACAGTCGACAGAACAGAACATAACATGGATATTTCAAAATGAATCAAATCAGAACAAAATACTTATTACCTGTTAAACAAAATTATAAATTGCATTACCATGGTTAATATATTATCACAATAAACCCACCTTTATAGCACCCCCAACAGCATCAACAATAATGTTTTTCTTTTTCGGATCTTTCCTATTAGATTTAATAAATACATCTACAACAGGTTCACACATTTGTAGAACTTCAGTTTGAAACCTGAAATGTTGATAAATATTGTTAAAAATGCCCAGTTTCTCCAATATGTCAACAAATATAATGATACTTAACGATACGCTCTATATCTAGGTCATTTTGAAACTGAATAAGTTTGAGGCGTTCTTTTTCTGGTTTCGTATAAGAAATGGGCATTCTTCTTCACTCTGATTTCGTATAAGGAATAAAATCTTACTTGAACAGAAGCATTCACTGTCGACTCCTCCTTGAGTACAACAAAAAATTTTACCTATGTATACACGCCAATGTTTAGACAGTGAAACCAGTGGTTCTACTATCATTTGAACTGGGATTTTTAAAAACACTGTTAATATATTTCAATACTTCCAAAATAAAAGATAATTATATAGGTTATATGTATGAGATTAAATTGTAAACACACTCACATATTAGATGGATATTCTTTCTTCAGGGCCGAATTACTCACATGCGCCTCTTCACGAAGAAACTGGAACTGTTTGGACCATCTTGTTGTTTTTCCATCTGACGCATCATCTGTCGCAACAACTTTATGAGATCTTTTACAGTTATAACAAACCTGGAGTATTAAAAATCCAACGTAGAGGTTATCGTTATAAATCGTCGGGAAAGAATCAGAATTTCGACACGTTTCTTATGACCCCAATGAATCATTTCAGTGATTTTAAAATAGATGGTAATTGTTGACAAAAAACTGGGAACGGGTGGGTTATTAAAATGTTGGCAAATACAACACAATTGCAAAAAAAAAAACCACATTAATCTGTGCCTACATTTCGTTTAGCATATATTTATACATTCAAACAAATTAAAACACATTAAAAGTGATTTATCTATTTACCCTGTGAGGTCTACCCTCACTACTTATTTCAGCATCATCATCTAATCTCATCTTATAACCTGAACAATGATAACAATACACTTTACCACATCTGAAAATCATTTAAAATTGGCGGTTAAGAGATTTAATGGTTCATGGGAAATAATTCCAATTTAGAATCTTCGCACTGCAACACTGCAAAGATGATTTACTTTAAAATCAGTCCAGAATTATTTTAGGTGGGGAACTGGAAAGGGGCGTCTTTCCTGTACGCCGAGTTGGACAATGTGAAACGTTTTTGGACATGCCATCCCTAGGCCAAAACATATTCACAAGCTAAGTGTCTTTCGTAGTTCTAAATGACAGATTTTTGGTAAATATTCTATTATTTTTCTTATTTTCATTGGTTTCTTTCATTTTTAACACTTGTGGTAAAAAGGGACAATTCAATTTTTTAGTGTATGTTTTTGTTTACCTTCGGCAATGGTGACGTCGAAATAAAACCTTAAAAGGTCGTTGGCAACCATAACATATAGGGTGGTGTATGTCAGAGTCCCAATGATCTTTACGAATATCTGTTTCAGAAAAAAGAAGCGAAAAAGTTTACTTCAATAAAAAAGAAAATAAAAACAATTAAAAACAGCCAAATTAACATTTGACTACAACAAAATCTAGCTATGGTCTAAACTATATCTTCTATCTATACAATACTCTTTTATTACAATTGACAGGCAACAAAACATAGTATGATATATAGCATCTTTGTCCATGGCATGGGTGTGTGTGTGTGGGGGGGGGGGGGGTACTGCGTTAACTGTCTCTTAATCTTTCTAGGTATTAGGTTATGTCAGTTTTAACGGCACAACTAATCGTTTAATTCACGGTAGACTTAAATAATGCATAGTGTATGATTTACATAACAACTGTTATAGTATATTAAAATAGATAATAAAAAATGAACACATTGGACATGTCAGTCAAATAACTTCATTCTAAGCGAAGTTATAAATGTTTGAAGTTTTTGACAAGAAATAGCGAAAATGGTCTCTAACGAGCAGATTGACGATAATAAATAAAGTTTCGATTTTCAGTCCTTCAATCGGCAGTCTCCGATTATGGGCTTGCCATGTGAATAAATCTTACATAATCCTTAATATTTGTTTGAATGGATAAGCCATTTTAAAGATGTATTCCTACGAAAGTATTGAAAAGTTGATTTTTTTTACAATAAAAGTATGGCATGTTGGTATATTCTGGAAGTAGGGACACTCATTCTTGCTAGAAAAATACTAAATTCCCTGAAAAACACCCATAGGGCATCAACAGGTTAAAATTTTAAGGATATCACCGACATCCACAGGATAAAAGTGTAAGAGTATCAGCGACTGTCCGCTAGTTGTCTACCCGAGTGACGTAAGGGGCGCTTCGTACGTGTTGATCGAATGGCTAGCGGTTGTGAAAACACTGGACGACTTTAACGTACACCAGACTCTGGGATTAAACGGGGAAAAATAAGTTGGCAGAGGATAGTCCAAGAATTTACTTAGGCTTCGATATTTATGGTGAATGGACAGCGATTAATGACAAATACAAGCTATAATCACATTCCTACTCATTCAAGTCACGTGACAAACAAGGCTACACAAAATAAACTTTTCATCTTGGGGTAGTTTTCTGGAGATTTAAATGTTTTGAGGGCGATTTGAAGCAACCTTTTGATAGACGATTTAGTCTGCATATGGTTTTAATCCAAATAGACTCTTCAAAAAAAGTAGGGGATGTTGAAATGCAAATACCTATGCAGGTTGTGATATGATAAATAGTCATGGACACTTGACATGCTTTGAGAGTATGTTCACAGATGAAGAACTTATCGCCTCAACAGAACCACTGAGCTGCATGTGCGACACGCAATAGCGGCATACACGTGGGAGGGGTTCCTTGTCAAATTTGACACTTCAAGGAAGGGTTGATGAAAACTGCCGCTTGCTGATTTATCCTATCCATGTTTGCTTTCATATCGGTTCGTGCATAAGATTTACTGTTTAGCGTATCTTTTCTTTAGTGTGTTACGTTTAATTTGATCGGGAGACGTGTTCATCGACGTCAACGCCAACCGACAACACTGCAAGAATTGACCGTGGCACTGCAAGAGGAGTGGATCAGATTGTCCCAAATCGCGATTGGACGGTTGATTAGGAGCATGCCACGACGAATTGCTGAATGTCTGAGGATTGGTGGAGCAATTACTCATTATTAAGACAAAAATCAAAAACGTCCATTTTCACTTTTCACAGTGTATCTCTTTGCGAGTGAAATGGGGCCGTCAAATACGCCGCCCATATGGACTTTTTATGTTCATGTGGAGGCGACGGCCTGTTATTAACATACACTAGTTACCTCTAAAAAAACAGCAGTGCATTTCCGCAGTTTTGTATTGTTTCTGAATATCCCCTAATTTTTTTAGGAGTATATATCAACAAATCAGACCATTTGTACGTGGGAATGCATCTTTGATAACGTAAAAACCAAAGAAATCAAGAGGACTGTCATACTCATTCGACGCCACTTTTAGACCAATCCGAATCCAGGAAATGTCCATTTTTGGGTTACAATTCATTATAATAGCTATATAAAATAGACAACTTGGTAATTTATTACTAATTTGTAATTTATTATGTATATATTATCCTCTATGCTGTTTTGTTAAATGCGTGTCTAATTGTTTTATTGGATCATGTTATAGTGTTTGTTCTACCATGATGTCCTGTCATACTATACCCATAAATCACCTGTCATAGGGTGTGTCCATTTATTTATTTTTAAGTATTTGACATAATGCATGAAGAGTTTTAACGTTTCATATATACTATTTAACAGTAATTCATGTTCATTCACCGAAAATGTTGAGTGTATATTCCCTTCCCTATTGCATAAATACGTGTAATGTCGGGCAGGCGAGCCTACTCCATGTCACGTACAATCTGGGAATCGAAACCACGTTACTTGCTCAATGACGGACCTTATAATCTAAATCCCTTCCATTCGTTAGTAGGATTAAATACAATAATTTTGTTAAACAACTTACTGGACTTGAGGCACAGGAATATGTTGAACTTGCCGTTCTTCTGGTGTATTCGCCGAGTTCCTTCATCCAAAGCCGATAAAGAATAGGATCGTTTTTCTGGTGACAAACCATTGTTTTTCACACCATAGGTCTGAAATATTAAATGAATATGTGCAAACAGTGTCTTTTTAATCAATGATTTTAAGTAAGAGCTCCCCCAAAGGTGTTCACGTGTTCAAAATATGCTTATTTATCGTAATAAAACTGAAAACACACCCAAAATAAAATTTCCATTCCCACCCCCTTCACCAGAATTTTTTTTTCTTAACAGACGTGATTTATTTTATTTCGATTTCCTAGTTGTAAAAAGTGATATGCAGAAAACGAAGAGAAAAGGGCTCCACTTTCTCGAAATTCACTTTAGTTTTTCTTCCTGAAATGAATCAGATATTTTAGTCTACATGATTGTATTACATCTAACCCCATTTCATTTCATGTATTTAGACATTACGTATCCGCATGAGTTTGTTTATAAATAGGAATGATTATGCAATAATAACAATATAACACGTCACGAGTTAGTGTATTGGGAAATAATGGGTGGTCCAGATATCATAATATAAACTCTTTATAATGAATGTAGATCTATTCAATCTTATGATAAGGCAATAACATTTATGCTGATGTAACCGGGCCGTTGGAGGACCCGTTAAGTAGGTTCAATTAAGTAGCGGAAATTCAGGAGATCATTTGTTGTGTTGTTAACAATGTGAACAATATTTATTTATAAACATACAACAAATCATGGGAGTTTTTAACTTCTCACTTTTCTGCACCGAAATATGTTGGAAATTTTACCCGGACAGCTACGTTTCTGCCACAGACAGTGACGGATCATGAGGTCGCCGATCCCTGAGGCAGCATAGCTGCCTGGCCCTTGTGACAAGATGGCACCCTAGAACAGTGGTTCTTAACCTTTTTTTTTTTGCTAACGGCACACCATGGAATACATGAAAAATTAGCGGCACACCTGGCTAAATATATATGAAAAATATTTGAATTAGTAGCAACTTCCCGCTGCCAACCCAAAAAGGCCACTTTGTTTCATGATTTTTGGGAAATAGGTCTTCATTATTTTTTTCCACAAAATAAAAAAAATATATTTTTTTTGTCACCAAATCGCCGGGGCCCATGGGGGCACAGGCCATAGGCAATTGCCTCTGTTGCGCTCGCCATGATCCGGCAATGTACACAGGACGTTCCTTTTTTTTATCCCGTCCAAACGAACAGGCGCTGCTCCTTGTCAGGCACTCCGTCCTGCACTACTAACAAGTTAAAACCATGCTGAAAACACCGGGACACTCTAGTGTCCCCCGTTTGATAAAGAAACAATTATTTTTTTATGAAATACCATTTTGCATTCTACTTTTCGAAGTCAAAAATTATCAATTAGGAGTTGTAAATGTACAAAATATAATTACAAGATTTTAAGGAGAGAGGAGAGATATGTATATGGGTGTAGGTGTGGAAAGTTAATGTCCACTCGACACAAACCAAATCATTTCGGGACTAACATATGGTACAATTGTATTTTTTAAAAAGCTTATCTGCAAGAGTCTTTAGCAGGGGATGGAAGCCGGAGAACCCAGAGAAACCCCACGAAGTCAGCCAAGAGATCCTACTCCTTATCACGTGCATTCTTGGGATAGTAAACACTCAATGACATATTTATCTTTTTATCTAAAGTGTACGCGTTCGACCACTCTACCACCAAAACCCCCCAGAAATAAAGTCACTACTTACCTGCAATTGAAACATTTTAACAGCCAGTAGAACTGTTGAAATTATAACTTATATACTAGATCACACCAAACTAATATTATGAATTATTGGTAGAAGCTGTCTATTTATATCCAACTATAAAACCCCATCATTTAAATTTACATATCAGCGTGGGCTGTCTAAATCAACAAATCGCGTCCAACTTTCAACTTGCAGTGCTAACATACACGCTCTTAAAATACCCATAGCAACTGCATCATCCCTACATACCCTCCGATCTCCCAAAAAATAATCTAACTGGAATTCCCAATGCGGATATCCATTTGCCGTGACATTTTAAAATGACTTACGTGCAAGTGGGCTATTGACTATTTAAAGTGTCCCCATCCTTATTTATACAAAATAGCTGATCTTCTCTGGGAATTGAAATTGAGTAGTATATCTCAATTTAGTATTGACTCCGCGTCACCCATTTAACTCCGGAGAAATAATGGCTACTATCATTATTTTGTTTCTAGTTTTACACGAGGCAAAGCTGAACATATAGGCCTACTTTGCTTTTTACTATCTATAAGATTTTATCATTCTATGAAACGCCAATACTTATTATTTTAAATACAGTTTGTTTTTGGAGAGAGAGGGAGAGAGAGAGAGAGAGAGGGGGGGGGGGGTGAGAGAGAGTTGACCATATCCTTCTCTATACCGAACCTATCGTTCTCCAATATTTTTATTTTTATCTTTATCAAGGAGTGGATCCATATTTATGTTGACTACATATAAAACTCTGTATTGAAATGGGGGTGGTGTATTTCTTTCACTCCTCACCAATAAACTGATTAAATTTGAAATATTTTAGATTTCATCTAGTCATTGGACATTCAAAACGCCTTGCTAGTCCTAAATCCCAAACTTCATCAAATTCTGATTACTCATTTTTGAAATATATTGCTCTCGCCAGAATTCAATTATATCCAATATCTTTGTTTACAGAATAATAATGTTAATTATTTTAATAACGTAATATCTAAATATTTACACCATCCTAGTTAAACTTCAACTTGAAATGGACATTTTTTGTGACGGGTTAGTTTTTGATGTATGTTCTAGAAGCCCATAACATTGGGTTTTTTTTGTTATTAGAATCATAATATTTTTTTGTGTAAACACAAATCTTATTGTAAAATGCCTAAACGTCTGGTGTATTTTATACGCTGATCGTTTCTCAGCCACAATGGCCTATTTAAATAGCCTTATATACAGACAAATAATAACTATAAGACTATGTATATATATATAGTATGCATGGTTTATATCATCATCAATAGAAGGCTCGATCTCGCTTTAACGCCGTACATCTAAAGCTCGTGATCTTTATTTAAGGAACATGGTTATATATACACCACTGTAGGTTAGGAACTATTGAGACACGCAGTTATAATAACAAGAGATAAGTGGTATCAGATGTTCTAGCAAGTCCTTTTAAACACTAGGGCCATTATCTAATATATTCAGTAAATTAGGGTTGTAGCTTGATCTTGGATTTATACAACTTCTAGGAAGTCAATGAAAAGAAATATATATTTAAGGAACGTAGCAGTGATTTTCATAGGTCTGTACTTTGTTGTTTGTTAGTTTTGTAAATAAAATATACATGTAATTCATAAAAGGTGACACGTCGCGTGTTGAAGGGTGACATTGCATTAAACAGACGACGTAAAAAATTTTCTCCACAAACATCAAAAAAGGCGACACTCCTGTGGTTGCAATAAAAGGTACAACATTTGTGAGTGTTAAAGATACTTCCCGCGTACAAACTTGGTGATTTGACGATATATTATTTGGACTAAAAACATATTCAAACTAATTAATATCTCAAAATTTTGCTTCAAATCCTTCTCAAAACAGTGTGTTCGCGAGGAAATACCCTAAGCTATAAAAAGCCGGAGGAGAATATTTATTGTATATAACAGACGATGTTGTCTTTAATCGCTGTCCATTTATCATAAATATCGAAGCCAAATTAAATTCTCGAATTATCCACTGCGCACGTCTTTTTCAGTGTTTTGGGTTGGTTTTTTTATCCCAGAAACTGTTGTACTTTTAGGTATCTCACTTTTTCTTAGTCCGCTCACCATCAAGTTTATCAACATATACATCAAGCGCTCCCTAACGATGAAAGATCAGACAATCTTCTTGCGCAACCTTTGACGTCACTCGAGCAGACAGCCTTTAATCGCCAGTCTGCCAATTAGTGACGCTCTCTCATTTTTGTCATGCGCGTGCTCCATGGCTGTTTTTCAAGGAATCTAGTATTTTTCTACAAAGATTATGTGTCTCCACTTTCCATCCAAAATTGCCATATTTTTATTGGAAATAGCAACCCGATAAATATTTTTGTTGGAAAGTATCTTTAATCGGACAACAACAATATTCACGGCGACTTTAGAAAGCTCTTATCATTACAGTCATTAAAAAACGGCATAGCTCACATTGTCAAGTGAAAATGGGAAATTTTAGTGTTAGTAGGTCAATAGGAGGTAAGGTGAAGGGGGTCGGAGCTTCGTACTAATCCTTCTAATTATGTCGTTCTCCTTTGAAGATCGGTTCATCAATTTTTAAAATTATTATTTACTCTCATCTTACAGAATTATATATATTATGCTTCTAAACCACTCCAAGAAAATGTTGTTGATCATCATAAAATGGCATATGGAATATTGATATAAATTAACTTCCTTTTTTCTCTCATGGAACAATTTGTACTCTGCTAGTTTTTGTGACTGTGACCTTCGCCTAACACCAACCCAACCTGCACACCACGAGTTTAATTTGAATGATATTCGTATATATAGATGTCAAAATAAAAAAAACGTTAAGAGGGGTGTTGGGTGGTCTAGTGCTTTAACGCGTGTGCGTGAAATCACAAGGTTTGTCATTGTGTCAAGTGGTGTGGTTTCGATTCCCCGCTTGCAGGTGACAATCTCGTGGGGTTTTTCCGCCAGCGAATTATTGAAATAAAATTGAACCATGTTAGTCCCGAAATGACCTAGTGGGCGTTAGATCCCATTTCTCTTTCTCGTTATATTAATTAAGACTCGGCTCGTTTACACTGGTAAATCGGTGGCCGTTGTGGCTCAGTTGTAAAACTAATTCGGAGAGATTTTGATTTAACAGTTTTTACGTATTTTTGAAACAGGCTCCGAAGCATTTGGTTCTGTTATGCAAGATCATTTTCGACGTTCCAAAGTAAAAGTTTGGTGCTAAGACCACCTAAAGATAAATTTTAAATGTTCCTATTATTAATTAGAGCAGGTTTCCCTTTAGTTTTTATATTTTACGCCGACATTTATTACTTTAAATCTTCCTAGTGCTAAAACGGAAAATGTGACCTTTTGACCTCTGGGGTCACAAAGAACAAAGGTGAATTTAGCAAGTTTACATTTTTATTGAAAGTGTGATTACTTTCGATCATTTTCAGCTTTCACGATACAAGAATGACCGCGCATCCACTTTCAGTGCAAATGAACCCATTTGACCTTTGACCCCGAATATCTCGAAAACCCCCTTAACGGCGGACTGATTACCACTCGGCATCGTATTCTACACAAACTTTTACTCTAGAAAAGTTGGGTCTGGTTTTGTGCCCATTTGATGGACAACCCCCCCCCCCCCCCGCACTGAGCCTCCAGACTATAACTTCTACCTGAGCTGTTTGCCTACATGTTCAATAGGAGCTTTTAGATGCACAGCAAGACACGTGTATGTAACAAGTAACAGTGATATAATAAAAATAAAATGATTTTGATAATTAAACTATGTTATCATATTCCAAAAGTTATCATCTTCCAGAATCGTTACCCGTATGGGTAAAAAAATATAATGCTTCTAATAATTATCATAAAATAACTCTTAACCCTAGTGGTTAAAATTACAATGATTCTAATAACTAAACTAAGTTATCATCTCCCAAATAATTAATTTAAGATTTTAATAATTAAACTGAGTTAGCACCTTTCAAAAATAATCAAACTATGTTATCATATACCAAAATTAACCCTAAGCTTAACCCCTATAGGGTTTAAAATACATAATTTATTACGATTCTGACAATTATCAGGTTTCATGAAAGATAACTCTAACATTGACATGTCGGGGTTAATATATATATATATATATATATATATATATATTAAAGTAAATAAAGTACAAGTACTTCTTTGTTTACGGTAGATAAATGCATAAATAAATTAAAAAAATCCGTCCAGATAAAAAATTCTCCACTTTACTTCATTCTGACATACATTAAATCATATAAGCTAGCTGTCTACCTTCTATGGGCGTCTTCAGATATTAATAATGTATATATATATATATAATAAATAAACTGAGTTATCATTTTTCAAAAATTAACTCTCGGGGTTTTAAAAAAAAAAGAGATTCACATAATTCCAGGTATTAATGAGGCTGGTATGAATGTTTAGAGACTTAATACAAGCTGAAAACTGACATGTCATTCAAGTATAAAAGACAAAGGTGGAACCGGAAGTTTCATCTCGGCCCATGCCTATAACAATATCCATTGTGCAACAATTAAGCATGAAAAATTTATCGAAATCAATAATATTGGAGAAATTTAACATTTACTAGATGCAGTGTACTTAACATAACGCCAACATATTTCCTCCCTATATATTCAAATACATCAAGGTTGCTGTAGTAGCCGTTTTTGAATTTTCAGTTGAAGTATACAAATACTTCTGCATTTTCTATTAAACTTATAAAGTAATGCATGTGAATTATATAATCAGTCTCTGAACATTTTATCTGTTAGGTGCTAACTCCAACGCACATAAGTCATTGTAACTTGCCTAGTATACTTGACAATAATTATGTCAATGAAAGCTTTGAGAATAAACTTACCTTCAGTTCATAGTCCTCCATGTTACATTCAACATTAATAAACGTCACGCGAAGCTTTGCTTGTGCAACACACGTTATCA